AAACTCTGAAATTATGTCAGCTCGTGTCTCACCATCAAACTAAAAAAATATTTTAAAGAGTTATTTTAGAAATATTTTTATATTAATGTAAAATATTTTTTTAATTGTTAGATTATATATTATTGATNAAATATGAGCATCATTCAGGATGTTGCAATATATTACTAACCATCTAATTGAAATAATTCAAAATTAATTTCAATGATTTTAAAATTATTGTCTGGTAATTATCCAAGAGTACTATTTTCAAAAAAAAAGCATCCAAACAGACAGTCAGCCAGTTTAAGCAGCAAAGCCTCTGAGAATTCTGGGCTCTAATTTAGGATGGCTTTCCAGAAAATTTGTGGATGTTTCACATGTCCATGTTAAATTAACCTTAAGAGTCTTGTCCCTCACTTAGCTGTTCCATTTTTGGTCTGGCCAAATATGTGACAGATATGAATAAACATCTTTTAGTGTCCACAAAAGAAAAATTCTAAGAAAAAAAATGAGTCCATATTTTTGAATTTCTTTTTTATGTTTAATAAATAGATTCACACAATTTAATTACCAAATTTTCAAAGTACCATATTTTCTTGCATAGAAAATTGCTAGTACAAAAATAAAACCTTTTTTGCATGCCTTTCAAGCAATGGTTGCTCCATAGGCATGAGTTTGTAATTAATTTCAATTTAAAATCAATATATACTCTGTCCCACTGTATTACTCACAGTCCCTTTCAAGTCATAAAAAGAGATAACCTATGTATCAGTGGCATGCAGTCCATGGAAGCTGTGGAAGTGCTGCTTCCCTTGTATTTTCTAAAATATAAATACATATTGTGTGATTACTTTCATAAAAAAGTTTTTATAGCTTTGTTTCATGTCAATGTATCTATTTTAGAATTAAAATAAATAAACTGTTTATTTTAGTCATTTCCAGTATTTGTTTATTATTTTTATGGAAACACAGCTTCCTTATCATTAAATATCACTGCACGCCACTGCTATGTATTATAAGCATGAAAATACTGTACCAGTAGTTCTTGAATTGAAAATAAAATTAATAGCCTAATAGTTAATATTAAACTATAAATCTTTTAAACAGTAGAATGATTTAATGGAGTCAAAAATTTTTAAATATATGATAAATACCAAGTGCTCTTAAATAAATGCATCATCCACAGGGAGGCTTTTTGCATTTAATTGTACTTGGAATGATACCCAGCTCCAAAGTAACAACATTTATTTTTAAAGACTTCCTGAAGATGAAGACGAAAAATTGTTCAAATAATGTTTGAACAATTTTTCTTGTATAATTTTTTAATTTATGACTATTAAAGCATTTTATATATATAGTAGAGTTTTTAGATTTCTTCCTATGAATCTTCTATTAGGTGCTGTCCGTTAATTACAAGTACAGTTTTTGAATGACTTTTGACCTTTCCCTCAATTTGTGTTAATGATGTACTTTTGGTAAACCCACTCCCTTTTAATTACATGTACAATAATTCAAATACCCCTTGATATTAAAAAAATGACTTTAAAAAATTCTTCAAATATTTTCTAACTGATAATTTATTCACATGACTAGTAAATAGGTTTACAGGAACAAATTTGAATGCCACTAATACCACTAAAAAAAGTCTATATAGACAGTGCCTTAACCCTGTATTAATGTATTGAATACTTTTTGACCTTCCTCCTCCTTAAACTGTACAAGTAATTAATGGACAGCCACTGATTTAAAGAAACTACCAGTGTTATGTTACATCTGATTTTATTATATTATGTTATGGACTTGATTTATAAATTATATAAGCATTGTTTTTAATAAAATTAAACAGTACAGTAGAGTGTCAATTATCTGAAAATCAATTATCCAAAAAGTCAATTAACCGAAATCAACTTGAGAGAATATTAATTTCAGAAATTTTAGAGTTTTACATTATAATAATTGTCAGCTATGGAGCTATTTCATCATTATTATTATTTTATTGTTATTTATTACTATTACCATTTATTTACTATTATTTATTATTATTTATTACTATTAATTTTACTATTTTTCATTTTGAATTTAAAATTTCATTAGTACTTTGTAGATTACAAAGAAAGACTAATGCTTGTTTTTAATAAATTAGACAATTTTTTCATTATTACTAATCATTCATATATATTAAATGTTTATGCTTGAATTTTTTCTTACTATTGTACTAGAATTAAAATTAATATTTTTACTTTACTTAAAGCTATTTATCTTTTTATTCTTTTCCTACAAAGTATGATTGATTATCTGAAAAAATTAATTATCCAGAAATATACTGCCCTCAGTGGTGTACTGGTCAACCAGAAAATTGGGAATTTCCAGTCGGCTGTTTGCTTGATAGCTGTTCCTTTTTTAAATTTAATACATGCACATTATATTTTACTTCAGAAAAATAAATGAATAAACAAAGTACAAGTTCTGTCTCTTGTATTAAAAAAGTCTTATTATAATGTGAGATGTATCAGGGTGTCCATAAGCAAGCCTGGTGCATCCCATAGAACCTAGGCTCACAAAAACATGTTTTTTACTTGATATTTTAAAATGACTGGCATAAATTACATTCTACCCACAATTTGCATTTTATAATTTCTAATTTGAAAACTGATCACAACTTGTGCTAGAAGCCACCATAAATCTTTTTGGACTCTTTCAACCTTGAAGTCATTTTAAAGAGGACCTTTTTCAAAGCCTATAAGTTTGGTTGTGGACCAGCCTGGTGGTGAGGAAAAAGCCTGCCATATCAAGGTCAGACCACTCCTGAAAAATTTCTGAGGATTTTTCGACTATTTGGCTTTGATCCTGGATCCATCAGAGCCGTATGCTGACAACTTTTGACAAATCTGTCTGCCCTGATTATTTCAGGTAACTGATGTTCTACTGTATATGAAAACTTTGCTAGTTTATTTTAGGTTTCATCAGCTTTTTAAAATTACCAAATACAGTCACTCTCAATAAGAGCAAACTGTACTCTCACTTGTACTGTACTGTAAAGTGACTCTCACTTCCATTCTTTAAGTCAAATATTTTTCTAAGTAATAACAGACACAGAACCAACTTTCAGTACATTTAATACAAAAAAAATGAACTCTGCACAAATGTTTTTCAACTTCTTCAGAGTTCTTCTTCAGGTGTGACAGAACTCAGAAGGAGTTGGATAACATTTGTGCAGTGTTTTTTTTTTGTATTAAATGCACCTGAAGTTGGTTCTGTCTCTGTTGTTTCATGTATTCCAGTGTAGAGTGGTGTATATATTTTTCTACGTTGACTTTTTTTATAATCTTATTTTAATTCCAATGTAACTCTTCTAAACTCAATACAATTTGTGTGTCCAAATCAAAATGGTTTGAAGACATTTCTTTCTAACTCTAAATCTAGAATTCCAGTAAATTTATTATCTGTCTTATTTTGTATAGTATACTTCTGGTTGTGTTCTCAAGGGACAAATTATATTAAGATAAGTTTAAAATAAAAGCAAATATTAAAAACCCAGCAACAATTTGCTTAATTTTCTCGATAACATTTAAAACTGCATTTACACTATCTGTAATGATATTTTATTTAAAAAACTTATAATATTAATTAATTATTATAAAATTGCAAAAAGCTTAATTTTGAGAGTATGGACAAGTTTTATAAAAAAAAAAAAAAATTGTAAATGCAAATAACGAGTAAAATTGTCATTAAGTTTGACCCTATTCAAGATACAACACACAACTCCCCTGCATCTCCCCACCCTCTCAACCTTTAACCACCAAAATTTAACAGCATCAATATCCCAAATAAATAAACCATCCTGCAAAATTTCAGAAATTTTCAACAAAAAGAACAAGAGTTATTAAGCTTCAAAGAGGGTGAAGAAAATCATATCCCCACAAACACACAGGAAAAAACCTCCAATTTTTTTTTTTTTTTTTTTGCATTTCTCAAAGTTTCAAGGTACCGAGTCCAAAAAATGTAAAAATCTTGGGAAGTCATTTTCTAACTTATTGCCATACTTTCCTTCTGTTATATATAAATTATATAGAAAGTATAAATTTATACCTTACATATACAAGTATATAAAGTGAATTGATTGGTTAGTGTATCAAACTACAAAATACAAAATCTAATGATATTTTCCATCTAAAATAAATATTTTATTTTTAAATGCAAATTGGACAAACAAATCTTACAGATGGTGTTCTCTTTTTAAATTTTCAAAATCATTTTGAAAACTTTAAAATGCAGTTATTTTAATCAGAATTTTCATCTGAATGTACAGTACTAATCATATTCAACAAGACTGGGTTGATCTCATTAGTGCAACATACATGAAAAACTGTTAATCAAAGATTTTGTTAACTCTTTAAACACTGAAAATTTCTTCTTCCTATGTACTGTACATGGATATGAAATTGTTTTACCCCTCAGTCTAGTGATTAATGGTGAAAAATTTGTAAAGCAAAACCAGTCATACAACTTTACATTTAGCAAATTTCATTTTGAATGGATTAAGGCAGTTTTGTCTGATCTCATGTTTAAAGAGTTAATGCTGACAATGACATAGCCATCAGTAAACACTTATCTAAAACATGACAAAGTGAAATAAAAAAAAGTGAAAATTATGAGGAATAAATAAATCTTGCTAATGGTAAAATCCCTCTCCTTCCACATGTAAAGAAGGTAGAATTCTTGAGATTTTATGGAGTTTACTAGAGGCCATGCCATATACAAAAGAAAATGTTCTCGTAGCAGTCCAGTGTAAAGGACATGATCAAGCAGAAAGCAATAGATCAAGGATGTCAACTCAAATGACAGACTTCTTTTACTAACAGTATAGATATTTTTTTTGTTTTGTATAAGTTCATAACCTATGAAATAATCAAAATGGAGCATATTCAAGTGTAATTGTGATTCTATTTTCAAATTATTTTGTCTATTGTCAAAACATTAATTAATAAACAATTTTAACAATATTAAAATAATAATAATACCAAAAACCAAGCTTCTGTGCTTATGATCATAGGTTCATATCCAACACTTGAATTTGTGCACCAGTGAGGAATAGGTTGTAGATAAGTGTCCATATGGGTATTAAATGTTGCTCCTAAGTTGATAGCTGCTTGTATAGGCTGTAAGTAAAGAATTGTGTTAAATTTTCTAATTACAAATTGATGATTATGATTATACTCATAAAATTATTATATTATATTACAGAATGAAATCCTATGTTTAAATAATTTGTACAGTTCCATTCAATTTTATAATATTAATGAAAATATTGTACTAATTTAATACACATTTGTAACATTTAGTTTTGAAAATTTAAATAATATTTAAAATTATAATGTTTAAAAATATAAAATGAAAAATTTTGTTTTATTTTAGTAACTTTAAATATTCAGTATTTATTAAATACTATTCATCCAATTAAGTAATAATAATTTATTACAAATAGAAAAATTTTATCTTTTTTAACTTAGATACTTTATTTTTATTTTATTAATTTAATTTATTATTATTATATTGGGTGTAGTGGGTTATACACTGTTGACATCAGTTGTTGTGTACTATACCAGACCAGAGTCAAGGCATAGCAACCAAAACAAAACAAAAATTAAATAAATGTGTGTCTGTGTTCAGGAATTTCCTAACAATATGACATGTATTCAATGTAGTGGTTTCCTGTAGCATGATGTATGTGTTTCTATTCAACTGTAATGTGTCCAGGCTTTTGTGTAGTGTGCTTTGAGAGAAGGAGGGTACAATAAGCACACTATCCACTCTTTACAGATGCCTTATTTATTGGGTGAGTTCTGTTTACTTGCTGATTTTTCAGTGCATGTGTTTTGTGCATTGTGAGTTTTTGGAATGGATATGTCATAATGTATATGATTTTATTGTGTTTGTCAATGAGTGTGATATCTGGTGAGTTATGGTAAATTATTTTATCTGTGATTATGGCTCATTGTAGTACATTTTGTGCGTGTTGTTTTCCAATACTGTTTGTGGAATGTATTTGTAGTATGGTTTGTGGATATCTAATAATTAGTTTGCAAGCTCTTAATGTATTATATTTGCTATTTGGTTATGTCTATGTAAATAATCTGTCTGTGCCAAGAGCTTGCAACCAGAAGTGATGTGTTATATAGTTTCTGGCAGGATTTGACATTTTCTGCATGTGTCATTTGTGAGTGTTGTATCTTTGAGTATATGTTTTCTGTACTTTTGAATATTTATGACATGATCCTGAATGGCAGGGATGACCACGGTCGACCAGTCAACCGCAAAGGTTTTGAAAGTAGCCTGCGAAGCTAAAGTTGAACAATTTGCTTTCACTTAAATTAATGTTTAAAAATCTTAATTCGATAATTTATTCTTACAATAATAGACAGTTTGTGCAACGTACCCATACTGTTTGTATTTATCCCGATGAACAATGCAAATAAATGTTAACGCATGCGCATATAAAAATCCTAAGATTGTTTGCCCATATTCATAGTTGCCCGCAGACTATATTTTACCAAAAAAGTAGCCCCTAAGGGATAAAAGTTTGGCCACACCTGCTGTATGGCAATCGTGAACCCTTTGCCTCCTCAAAGAGGAATTCTTGAACTAACCAGCTGTTTGACTCAGTTTTGTCAACAAAAACCTGGGCCAAGTCATAGGGAACCCATGACTGATTAATGATGTCTATGCTTTTTATATGTTGTGTCATGTCCATATGATGTAAATGTAAATTAAATGGTGTGTTATTTGAGTCTGCTAGAGTTACTGCTTTATGTAACTGTGATGTTTCTTGTCTTTTTGTAAAAAAAACTCTCGCAGTGTCTGTATTTGTTTGTAGTGAAAATTTACTATGTCAATCAGGCCATGTTATATATTTAGACTTTGGGCTAGATCTGGGCTGCCATGGAGATTGTGGCCAAGAGAGGGGATCAATGTGTGCGGGAAGCATGTAGTCATTCAGTTTCTATGACTTGAGGACTTGTTTTTGTTGCTCCAACTAGTTGTAACAAAAACCAACTGTAATAAAGAGTATCTTGGTGTCTAAGTGTGGCTGTCTGGATTACAAAACTATGGAAGACATAACAAATGGCAATGAGAATGGGATCCTGAAAAATCTGTCAACTCAATAGTAACACCATGCTCACCAGTTAACATCATTGACCAGTTCCATGAACTAATACTTCAGAATTCTCAGTACAGTTTTTATTAAAAGGAAACATTGTTATTAAAATAATTACACTTGGAACTTTAGAACCTTTTAAGCCTCAGAACCATCTACATGGGATTCATAGTATGAATGTTTGGAGTGTTTTTTCAAGCAAACAATATTACTGGCCCTCAGAAAAAAAAAAAGCAGAATTTTTGAGTATCTGTGTGGCTAAGATGTAAGCCATTATTCATTCTCTGGCAGTGCCCGACAATACAATGACTAAATCATACAGCAAGCTAATACATCTTGTCAAGTCTTGTTTCCCACCAAACTCGTCTGAAATATTTCAGGACATTTTTATTCTATCAAAGGAACCAGCATTCTAGAGAAAGTGTTGCCAACTTTATCACAGAATTAAAGAAACTCTCTGAATATTGTAAATTTGATGGTACACTGGATGTAATGCTGCAGGACAGATTAGTGTGTGTCTTGAAAGATGAATCTCTGAAAAAAAAGTTGAGCAACTTGTTACTGGTTTATTTGAAATGTGGTCATATTTTTATGTTTTAAAATATATTTTAATGCTAATACAGTATTTTCATTTGATAATGAATTTACAAAATATATGAAAAATAAAGGAAAATAAAGTTCATAAAATGATGATAAAACTTTTGTTTAGCTTTTTAATCAAGGCAATTCAGAAAAAGTATTTAAACACAGTTTATTAATTTACATAATTTTCTGTGTGGGAATAAGTGAATATTTCATTTTAATTGAAGCCAATCAGAAATTTTATCCATCTTAAATAGCATTAAAAAGAGTTTTGAAATAAAATTCAATTTTCTTTTTTGGTTCTTTTTCAGTCTTTAGTGCTTTGTTTCAGTTTTGTTTTTTTCATAAAAATTGAAACAGTGGTTTGATAAGCAAGACTAACTCATCTTTACTGCAATTATATAACTGCATAAATAGACATGAAAAAAACAAGTGAACTGATCAGAAACAAAATAAATGATTTTCACTTTTAAAACAGAAGATACCTGCATTTGGAGAATTTCCCTAATTAATGACTATAGGTTTAGCTGAGACGTTACTCTATTTTATTATATTCTTTTACAGCTCCATTTTTCCTCAGAACTGCTCTAATTTCTCTTGAACCTTGTTTGTGCAATCAGTTGTATTTTGCATCTCTGAGTGTTACTGTTAGACTGGATGTTGCTTTTCAGAGATTAAAAAAACTGGCTAGACTTGCATAACTGGTTATGTGACAAAGGAACAAAGATTACACAAAAGATGACACTGACTTTACTCACAGAAGGTCAGTGCTGAAAAGGGAAGAGTAAAATGAAATCACCATCACTAACAGTTCCCCAAGAGGTTAACAGTGTCACCAACTTTTTATTACACAACTGGATAAGCACTTACAAATATCACCACAACACAATGCACCACACAATGTAAGTATTGATGTTATATGATATTTAACAATAACTTCAATTCGTTGATTCCAACAGTCACAATGTGAAAAGTGTCCAAATTTATGTGACAACTATATAGAAAAGTAATATATGTAACAACATTTTACAATAAACTTATTTTAAAAATTCATTAAAAGTTTTTCATATACAATTGGTTCTTACTTTCTGGATATGTATTATAATATTATTTTTTTAATTTAATGGATTAATATATCTGAAACATTTTTCTAATTTTACAACATTAAAATACATGAATTAACTGAAAAAGTATTTACTGACATTATAAATTCATCTCTAATTATTTTTATCAGAGGGACCAGACCTACGAATTTTGATAGAAATTCGTTTTTTGTCTTTCAAAAACAAAATTTCCATTTTATTACTGGAAAATGATTACATCTCTCTCTCTCTCTCCAGAGTCATTTCCTTTCCCAGGGAACTCATCGAATGTGTCAGTGGGAACTACAGTACTATCAAAAATTCTTGATTGGTGAAGAAAGATAACATAATTTGGAGGTATAAAAAAAAGAGTGACTCGAGGACAAGGAGAGAGTCTGAGAGTCGCTAATCACTCTCCTAGAAAAAGGATATTTGAGTGTGCTTTCCAATCACTGATCCCATGTGCCGCCGTCGTTCACCCGACTGTTGCTTCTTTTTTTGGACAATCAAGGTTCTCCTTCCAAGAACCCTATTCAGATTTCTTCATCTAGAAGCTTGACTTTTTCCTACAAACTTGAACTTTTCTACCCGGGTGCACCCAATCACTACATCCATCGACTGTTCAAGAATTGGCAGAACAAGGTATTTATCGCCGTGCGAAAAATAAATGTAAACGCTCTCTCTCAGACAAGAATCCATTAACCTCAGATGACACTGTATAGCTATAGATACTTTAACTCACTACTAAAGCAAAAGAGAATTATTTTCAGTAACTTTGTGTATTTATGTAAAGATGTATAAAAATAAACGGTATTTTTTTGTTCTAATTAAATAGTAGTGTGCACTTCTTCTGATCCGACGTCTCTCAATCTTCCTCCATCCTGAATCAGATAGCCTGCGCACGTGACTGATCACGTGAATTCCAAATTTGTGGCCATTAAGGTTTCTGTGTCTGGTTTCTGGTCCTAGAAGACACAGTGGTGTCAGTCCTGATGAGGGACTAAAGAGGTGCCAACCCTCTGGTCACATATATATATAAAACAATTTTATAATCTGTTTTAATATAAGTAAATTCATATTAAAGAAGAGACTAAACTCAAAAAGAAGTGCTTGAATGTTGGAAATCTGAAGCAGAAACAAATGGTTTTAAAATTTTTTATCCATATGTACTGTACATTCTGAATTCTATAATCTTTCAAGTGCTTTTTTTGAATTTAGTCAATTACTTAATGTATTATTTTCTTAGATTTTATTACTTTATCTGCATTAGCTAAAAAAATATAATTGAAAATCTTACAGGAAATGTACCAAGTCCTTCAAGAGCAACTCTGATCTTTGATACTGGTTGAACACTAAAAATTCCATCTTCAGGACAACTAACTGTGAGATTCAAATCACCACTAATATGGATGCCAAATGACATTAGAATTATTCCTATTGGAAATGTATAAAGTGGGATATGGTAAAAGGCAGGATAATTTAATGTCCCAATTTGACAAATAAACTCTGAAATTATGTCAGCTCGTGTCTCACCATCAAACTAAAAAAATATTTTAAAGAGTTATTTTAGAAATATTTTTATATTAATGTAAAATATTTTTTTAATTGTTAGATTATATATTATTGATAAGAATATCTTAATAGAAATAACAATACACTCTAACACTAATACTACTGTGTTTCCCCGAAAATAAGACAGTGTCTTATATTAATTTTTGCTCTGAAAAATGCGCTAGGTCTTATTTTCAGGGAATGTCTTATTTTTTCCAGGAAGAATTCACATTTATTATTGAACAAAAAAATTCCCAAGTCGAACTTAGACGAGAGTGATGTATATCCAGTGTGTCGAACTGTCACCTTTTTATAGCGTCAACATCGGACTCGATGACCAATTAGTGCTTACTGAACAGTAGCACTATGCAAATGTCATGTAGCGTGATTCCCGGCCGACCAATTAGCCATCACCAGCCGTAACGTTATGCAAATCTGTGATTCCCAAGCCATAGTCTTATGCAAATCATGCCGTGTGGCGTAATTGTCTGCTGACCAATCAGTGGCTGTACTTTCAAAAAGCCAACGGCCACTTTCAACCATCTGTCGATGACCGTTACGACTAAAAAAAAACTTCGCTAGGTCTTACTTTCAGGGGGAGGTCTTATATTTTGCAATTCAGCAAAATCTGTGCTAGGTCTTATTTTCTGCGGATGTCTTATTTTCGGGGAAACACGGTAGATGAGCATGAAAATTTTAATAATTATTACCTTAGTAAAAATATCACTTTATTATTTAGAAATGATAAGTTAATATCATTTTTAGTTAAAATAATGGTTTTTAGACAGCTTTACATGATCAAATAACATGCAATGATATCATTTGTTATTAACTGATGAAATGATATATCACTTGTCATTTCTACTGTTTGACAGTTTACTCTAATGACTTGTTCTTTGTTTTTACTAAATATCATTTCTTGTCAATTGACATAGATTTACATCATTTGATATCATTTACTATTGTCAAATAATGTCAAATGATATTAAATGATATTTTTACTAGAATAATAATTATTATTAATAACATAATCATTTTAAATTGAATAAAAAATTAAATGCTTCTTGATACTATCAAAAATGATATTATATTTCTGTATATTTTAATTTTGTGATAATTAAATCCTTTATAAATTTATTTATATACAGGTTGATTCACTGGTGATGTTCAGTAGTTTTTTCTCAGAAACCATTAGAGAAAGCAATATGGGACTAATGACCAAGTTTATAGAGCAGACAGAGCAATTTTTGATGGCCTTGGTTAATTTGAAAATTACAGAACAAAATAAGGGTAAATAAGGTTTTTTTTAAATTGTAAGGGGGTGCTTTTGAGCCATTATATGGATAATACAAAACAAAATAAACTTTTATATTAGGTCATATTTTCTTAAACCTAACAGTTTTCAAGATATCAGCCAGTTTCTTCAAAAAATCTGGTTCTCTTTTTCTGAAAGGTTTCTATGCTGGGAACTAAGTTTATCAGTTTATTAATTAAAAATCTTTACATGACAGAAACATGATAGTAATGAAAGTACATTTCAAAATTTATTTAAATTAGATGCTGAAAATGCCTACCCTCTTGGTGTATACAAGCATTTATTTTTCTAGGAAAAATAAATGTTTAAAAAAAAAACCTATATAAAATATGGCATACAGCCACAGATCATAAGTACTACTGTCTTTTATGAATCAAAACAAAACCTCTTCTCAATGTTATATGAAAAAGTTAATTGAGGTAAAGTGTTAGCAAAGACTCTTCTATGTGGCTTAAAAAACTTGTGTTTGATCTCAAAATTTTATTGATTGATTTTGATGAAACTTTGCCATTTTCCATTAATTGCAATGAGAAATCCAAAAATGTAATAAGGGTCCATTTAAATGTAAAAAATAGGTGTCTGTGACTTCTTTTTTGATATACAGTGGGGTCAAAATGACAATGTCTGTGCTCCAATTCAATTGATCACACCTAATAGGGATGAAAAATAAAAAACAGCAATGTGTGCACCTAACAGAAAATAGGCATGAAAAATGAACAAAATAAAAAAACAAAGCATTCAATGGTGACTGCTTTGTTCTTGGATCACCTCTACATCTTGGCAAGTGCAAAGATTGTCTCTCCATACCCAGCAAGTGCAAGGATAGGAATATCTTTCTTGTGGCCAGCAGGTAAAAGGATAATTTCTTTTGTGACGGCAAAAGAAATACATCCATTAACATATACAAGTACTGTACATCCATAATTTTCCTAATTACTTTTTTTTTTTATTCTTCTAACTGATGAATAACAAAATTTGGAGCAAAATCTTCCTAACTGTATCATTATATTATAAAAGTTTTGTAATTTTTGCTACAAAGTTTATATAAAGTAATAACCCACAAAATTGTTAAAAATTAAAAATAGATTCAAAGCATTTTTAAAGATTAAATTTAAAAAATTAAAGAAACAATAATCAAAAGTTAAAAATTCTAATAATTTTCATTTGATTTAAATAATCTGCAAAGAGTCAATGTCAAAATATCTTAAAACAATAACTGAAAGCAATATTTTATATCAGAAAAATATGCATAAACTTTTGTTTAAAAAGAACTTTCCCTTGTCAATTTTGAAAAATTGAGCTTTATAATTAAATTTTTTTAGATAAATTATGGAAAAATCAGGTATTTAATATTTTTTGAATAAACTGAATTGATTCACTTTTATTTGTACTTCTGAAATTAAACTTAATCCAGGCATAACTTAATCTCTAAAAGAAAAATAAATTAAATATAAAAAATGTTTATAACTCACATTATGATATATTCTCATTGTTCTATTAAAATTATATATTGTTATTGAGCCCATATCAAAAGATCTTCCTAAAACATTAATTGTCTTTCCTAATCTGTTAGTTACAATATAATTGTTTTCATCTTCTAACATTGTAGAAATGCCTAAAAAAAGTAATAAATTTTTGTAAATTTTTTTTATTTAAATGTAAAATTATAATGTAATTTTAATGTTAAAAATTAAGATTTATTTAACATTTTTTAAATATTTTATTGTAAGTCCCAGTTCAAAATGCTTTTCTCAGAGTAAAAACTCCTTTGAAAAATTAGTGCTTTCAATCTATGCTTACCATCAAGAATCAACAAGAGAAATAATAGTCAAGAGGTTGGTCATTGATAATAAGTATAAATCTCTGTAAACACTAGCATTTTATAAATATTCATTGTAAGTAAAACAGTTTGAATTGTATTTATATTTAAAGACCTTCCTTAATAATCATTTTATCATATATAAATTCAAATATCAAATTTTTGAAACTTAACTTTATTCTGATGTATTGGAGATGTTAACATCATATGTTCACATAAGAAACAACATCACTAACACAGGTATACCTTGATTAACATGATTAATTAATTCCTCAATGCTATTGCATATATCAAAATTGTGTTAATCAAATACAGTATCTATGCTACTTAAAGATAGCTGGTACATTTGCATTAATTAAAACTTCTGCCATATATATAAAGTGATTGCTGTAATTAATTTTGTGCATTAATCAAATCCCATGTTAAGCAAAACTGCATTAAGTAAGGGATACCTGTATTTCAATTTTTTCAGCTCATATTCAGGGGATTTTGAAGAAAATTTGAAGCACTTCTTTCATACAAGGAAAAAAAAAGCTAAAGAACTAAACTGTTAAATTTGAAACATTCTTAAGCATATATCTCTGAAGATGAGAACTTCTCAGAAAATGTTCAAAAATACTATTAACATCATTTATGATGATAGTACTCCAATTTTTGAGTTCTCCTATGAAACAGAATAAAGTTAAGTATTCATTCAATTTTACAAAAATTAACATCAAGTTATAAATTTATTATGAAGAAAACTATTATTTTTACCAGTTTTGTACACTGCATTGAGTTTAGACTTTCCAAATATTTGTTCACCATTACAGTGTTTTTGGTATTTGTAATTTATAAAAGCATCACTATTTAATGTTAAGGCATAATTTCTAAAGGAATTTAACTTATTACTGCAAGTTTCATGATCCATATAGCCTGAATATAAATCTCTCTTTCTTCTTAATTTGTTAACATAATAGAAATAAAATTTTTTAAATAAATTTTTTGTCTCTGGATGCATCTTCTTTTCAAAATATTGATATAATTGTTGAATACTAGGGCAGTTATTATAATGGAACATATTGGACACCAACCAATAATGTAGTAGTTCATCTATTTCATTAAAATCCACTTGTGGCCAATTTGGTGCAGCTGAGAAAAAAATAAAATTAGTAATATTATTGATTTTTAACTGAACTGAACAGAAAAATAATCAATAAAAATATTTATCTAAGTTACTTTTCCTTATTATATTGATATTTCAATGAAATATAAAAGAAATTATTTTTGAAAAAATAACTCTTTTTTCCAATTCAAACTGCTTTTCTTAGAATAAAATAGTTTTAGAAACAGCAATGTTTTCAGGCTTTATGCACAATATCAGAAATCATCAAGAGATAACATGAAGCAGAGAAGGAGTAAAAGAAAAATAAAGATAGAAACTACAAATTCTTCTTGAAATCTGGGGTAGTTAGAACAAAGCATGAAAGCATGTGAGTTTTCAAAAAATGTTTTATTCTGAAAAATGCAGTTTGAATTTGATTAACATTTAAGGAGCTTTTTTAATAACTATTAAAAACTAATAAAATTCTTTATATTTTGTTATAAATATTGATGATATTGATGATTTGCTAAATGTAAAAATCCCAAATTATTTATTTTATAATTTATTTTTAATCTTTCTATTTATATTTAACAAATATTGTAAAATATATTTTAAAAATATAAAGAAAACTTACCTCCATTTTTATTGCGAGGTACACATTCTTCTGCTAAAATACTAACTATATTTGATTTAAGTTTACAGGAACCTACTGATAACAATTTCAAAAGCCATTTTTGTACTTCTGATTGACTATAAAGTTGGCGCAGAGCATTTAATGCAACAATTTGATAATTTTCATTTTTCATACAGGTTTCAATGTGTAACAACAATTTATGAAGTGTAATTTTATCTTGCAAATTTCCTAAACCTATAAATATATCAGTAATGAAAGGTGTTACAATACATTTCTCTGAAGAAGTTTCAATAAAATTTAGAAATGTTTCAGCCACTTTAGTTTGTATATCTATAGGAATAGATGATTTTCTAGTTATAATCCCAAGGTTAACAATTAAAGTTCCAACAATATCTTGATCTTCTAGTGACTCTATTAACAATAATATATTTTCAATAAATTCTTCTGAAGGATTCAATAGCTCTGATAAAGAATTAATAGCATGATATCTCATTACTCCTGTTGATTTGTTTCCTGTTAAATAGGATATTAACATCTGTAAAAGTTAAATTGATGAAATATATTACTTTTTCAGAACAAATTTTAAAACAAGTTTTTATAAATAAAATATATAAATAATAAATTATTATGTTAAAATATAATCTTGAAGAGAAACCTGATAAAAATATCATTTCATCATTTTCAAATGATATCAATTAATATCATCTCAGGAATTGTTTTTAGACAGTTTCAAATGATAAAATGAAATGAAATGTTATCACTTATTGTCAATTAAGAAAACAATTTTAAATGATCAATTGATATCAAATGATGTATTAAAAATTGATTTGATATATTTGAAATATATGATAATATAAAATCAAATATTACACTATATTATTAATAAACAGAATATTTGCTAAATAATACACCATTTGATCTCACTCATTAAATGTCATCAACTGATATCATGTATTCAGAATTTAAAAATGTAAAAACATCACAAGATCACTTGAAAACAATTCACATTGTTTCCATCATTTAACATTCACTTCTATAAAATAAATAATTGCAAAATACATTAGAATTTATTTTATGGATCTTTGCCTGGCAAGATAATCTAAAGTTTTTTTTTTAACTCTTTTCACCCTGTGGATACTAAGAGTGCTTCTTTTAGTAAATCCATTATGGATTTAGCCAGGCCCACAATGGGGTAGCCAGGTGGTAAGAGATGGGGATCAACATATCCAGACAGAACATCACCTGAAAAATTCCTGGGGTTTTCTGACCTATCTGGATTCAATCCCCAGAGTTGTAGGCTGCCACCTTGACCACTTGGCCATCTGATCAATCTAAATAAGTTCTAGAAATTTAAAGAATGTAAATTCTTTTTAAATTTTTAGTGAATTCTCACAATACTAATTTCTAAAATAATTAAATCTATTGCCAAAATTAAAATTTCTTTATACTTCATATTTGCTATAATAAATACAGCTATGAATAGCATTAAAAGTGTTTTATTGTATAATTAGCTAAGATTCCTGGCTATGTTCAAGAAAATAATGCATTAAGCAAAGCTAATGTACTGTACTTATATAAAAATGTATATACAGAAAAATAATATGTCTTATAATAAACTCATAATTGAATTGATCCAACAAAAACAATTTTACATCAAAAGAAATTCTAGGAACTCACTGACAATCTGACACAGGTTAAAATGGCAATGATAATACATTTAGTATTACATACATTTTGCTACAAATGTACATATGTACAAAGTTTAATGGAAATCAGTTCAGTCATTCTCACAATAATCAAATAGGCAATTTTCTATATATAAATATATTTAATAGCTATTACGTTCAATAAATAGGCCTAACTAAAAATAGAGTGTTTTGAATTCAGAAATGCATCCATGTTAATGTATCCAAATCCAGTTTATTTAATAATTTACTAAGTACTCTGTGTTATTCAAGATTTTAATCATCTGAAGTATCCATAGTTCCCTTTACCTCAGATAATCAAGACGGTATCATATATAAAAATTCTATAAAATTTTAAAATTTGTTTTAAAATAATAATATCAAATTTTCATAAGCATATCTTTTTCATATTGTAAAATTTCTCTAAAATTATTTAAATAATATTTTATAATTTCTAAATAAACGCCTTTAAAAATATGTAAAAAATTAATCATCATAAATTGGTAATTTCTTGTTTCATAGGTTTTCATTTTTTCAAGGATTTTCTACATTTTTCTTTGCACTAAAATGAATTTTTTATTTATAATATATTTACAAATTTGTTGATGATACTTTTACTTCAATTACTTAAATAATGCAAAACTTAATGATTACTTTTGCTTTTATATCAAATCTATTTTAATAGCACTATGATAAAAACAGCTAAAAATATAAAAACTAAAATTTTATTAATTTTAGAAGTTCAAGAAATTTTGTAGATTACAAATGTTTTCAATTCAATTAATGAGCCATCTTCAATCCTTAGGAGTATGACTTGTAACTTTATACTTTACCAAGTTTTACACAGTGCTAAAGACGTGTTTGTTTATTTTGTATACTGTAGTGATTAATTCTATTAGTTTTCATCAATCATAAACAGAAGCATATATGTTAGTAATGACCCTTTATTCAGGATTTATGCCTTTATGTTCAGGATCTAAACATAGAGGGACAAAATTTAGACATGAAAGTAATATAAAGTTTTTTCAACAAGATTAAAAAACCTGTATTTTAGTATTTGTTTTTTTTATTTTGTTATATAGGTTTTATAGTTTTGCAAGAGAAAGAGAACTTTGCATTTAGATCTAGGCCCTATCCATTGTCTAACTAGAATAGACATTAGAGGGGCCCAAGTTAGAACATAAAAACCTACACTCCTCTCTGTACTACTGTGAATGGAGCCACTAGCACTATGGATGAAAAGCTATTGCACATACATGATACAATTAAATTACTTAAATAATGCAAAACTTAATGATTACTAAATTTTTGCATTTGTCACATAACATTTTTTCTAAATTAATTTATTTACAAAAATAAGGTGACTTGGGCCCTTGGACCCAGGGATTATGCTACTAGCTGTCTCACCTTCTTTAGTTCCTGCTTACATAAGTAAGTTAGAGCCACAAACAATTTAATACTTTAAATTTATCAAGTAGAACAAATTTAAGTTTAAATTTCTTAATTAAAAATATATTATAAATTTGCTTCAAATAATGTTTTACATGAATATATTTTTGTTTCAAAATAATATAAATTTGTTGCAATTTTATAATAGATAACATATTATTAAATTTTTCATTCACATAAAAACTGGAGAGTAAATGTTACTTTAAATTTTATAAAAAAAAATATATTTCTTTTCAGACTATACATATAATTGAGTCCATCTTCATCTGTCCCTTCACACGCTTAGCAGAGGCAATAACAAATCTATGGCGATACCGACCTTTTATTTGAGGCTACATGAGGCTACATTGGACGTTGGACATGTAGCCTCAAGTAAAAGGTTGGTATCGCCATAGATTTGTTATTGCCTCTGCTAAGCGTGTGAAGGGACAGATGAAGATGGACTCAATTATATGTATAGTCTAAAAAGAAATATATTTTTTCTATATGTGAATTCATCCTGGCAATTCTTTAATGTTACTTTAAATTATTTCTTTAAAATTCATTTCTGTTAAAAAAATAAATAAAATACAAACAAATAGTACAAGATTAACTCACATTTTCTGCTGATTTTCCACCAACTAAACAGTATAAATAAAAGAGTTTAGGACAGGTGTTTGGACTTTCTAAACAGATTCTTGAAACATACTGAAAATGGCATTTACATTAATATTTATGATTACTTCAAATTATTGATTACTGTCAAAATAAATGTTATGAAAACTCACATGTTCATTTAATTTTCTTTTCACAATATTTGTAATAGAATTTACTTCATAATTAATGCCAAGTGATATTTCTAAATTGATCATTTCCAAGAGCTTTGATACTGAAAATAAAACCATTTAAATCATAATTTCAAATACAATAAATATTATTAATGTATTAATAAAATAATCATTAACTATGGTGTCCTAAAAATCCATTCTTATACGGAAAATATTATATTTAAAGTTGGAAAGTGGAGGTACTCTCTTTTTTATTGTGCTTGTGTATGATAGAGAATTATTTAGGTAATATTGGACTACTTTTACGTTCTGTGTGTGATAGAGAGTATTGATTAGGAAATATTTGTATTGCCTACTTTTGTACTCGTTATTTTTTGCTTTATTTTTACTAAAATCATATACGTTGAAGTGGAGACAATACAATGACAAGTTAAGGAAAGGCATATGTCAAAACGGCTGCAAGCTGTCAATTTGACTGACATTCATTATCTATTTACTAGCAGATGAGCCCAGCATTGCTCGAACAAAAAGTAGCAATAGCAAAGATTAAGATTATTAGATTATAGCCATTCTTACCCTTTTTCACTGGGTCCAAGAATTACGTCTCCCTCTTCTGAGATTAATTAGAGAATTTTTACGTGGTCTGAAAATATATTTGATTTTCTGCAAAAACATAACAAACTGCATCTAAAATAGTATAGTAAAGCTGAGTTCTTTAAGACAATCCTTAACCCTCTCCCTCTCCCCGTGGGGGGGAATTTTGAAACATCTCTTCTTAGTGTGCATTCTCGTGATGTACCCTAACTGTGTACCAAATTTCAACTTCCAACTCCTAACCATTTGGGTGCTACGCTTAATAATAATTATTATTATTACAGTATGTTGGGTTTAGTAAGTTATACTCAGTTCACACCGGTGGCTGTGTACTATGCCAGACCAGAGTCAAGGCATAGCAACCAAAACAAAACTAAAATTAAATAAGTGTGTCAGTGTCTATATTCAGGAATTTCCTAACAATATGGCATGTATTCAATATAGTGGCCTTCTGTAGTGTTATGTATGTATTTCTATTCAATTGTAATGTTCCCAGGCTTTTGTGTAGTGTGTGTGTGGTACCACATCTGTACAGGAGAGAACAACAGATACAATAAGCACCCTAATCCATCTCCACAGATGCCTTATTTCTTGGGTAAGTTCTGTGTACTTGCTAATTTTTTCAGTGCATGTGTTTTGTACATTGTGAGTGTTTGAAATGGCTAAGTCTATAATGTATGTGATTTTATTGTGTTTGTCAATGAGTGTGATGTCTGGTCTGTTGTGGTAAATTGTTTTATCTGTGATTACGGCTCTGTCATAGTACAGTTTGTGCATGTTGTTTTCCAATACTGTCTGTGGAATGCATTTGTAGTATGGTTCGTGCATGTCTACCAATTTGTGTTTCTTTGCAAGCTCTTGGTGTATTATATTTGCTACTTGATTATGTCTGTGTAAATAATCTGTCTGTGCCAAGAGCTTGCAACCAGAAGTGATGTGTTGTATAGTTTCTGGCATGATGTGACATTTTCTGCATGTCATTTGTGAGTGTTGTATCTTTGAGTATTGTTTTCCGTAGATTTAGTATTTATGACCTGATCCTGTATGGCAATCATGAATCCTTCCGTCTCCCCAAAGAGACATCCCCAATCTAACCAGCTGTTTGACACAGTTTTGTCAACAAAATCTTGGGCCAGGTCATAAGGATGCTGCCATGGAGTGCCTTTTGAGCCCACGATTGCTTGATGATGTCTATGCTTTTTATATGTTGTGTCAAGTCTGTATGATGTGAGTGTAAGTTTAATGGTGTGTTATTTGAGTCTGCTAGAGTTACTGCTTTATGTAATTGTGATGTTTCTTGTTTCCTGTAGAAAAACTCTCTCAGTGACTGTATTTGTTTGTAGTTAATGTTAACTATGTCAATCAGGCCACATCTGCCATCTTTACATGGAAGGGTTAATCTTTCTGTGGCAGATTTAGGGTGATGTTGTTTATGCTTAGTAAGTGTTGTTTTTGTTTTCCTTTGGAGTTGCTCAAGATCTATGTGAGTCCAATGTATAATGCCAAAAGAGTAAGTGAGTACTGGGATGATATATATGTTTATTGCTTTAACTGTGTGTTTTGCATTTAGCTGTGTTCTGAGGATAGCATTTAACCTACTTTGGTATTCTTTAATTAATCTTTGCTTTATTTGTGTATGTTCTGTTAGTTTGGCCTGTTGGAATCCTAAATACTTGTAGAACTCGCCCTCTTCCATGGATTCAATAATGTCTCCATTTCCAAGTGCAAAATCTTCTTTCTTCAGGATTCCTTTTTCTATGTGAAGTCTTTTGCATTTGTCTAAGCCAAACGTCATTTGTATGTCCTTGGTGTATGAATGTGTGATTTGTAGGAGCTGCTGAAGTTGTTTTTGTGTGGATGCATAAAGTTTTATGTCGTCCATGTACTGTACATGAGATGTGACAGCTTAAACTGTGTTGTTTTTTTTCATGTCTGATATTGTATTATTATTATTGTTATTATTATTATTATCAACCATCTCGATTATATATATAGATTATATTCTGTTACCTATAAATCTTACTAGCTTTGCAACTCATTTCTATCGTTATTTTATCTACCCTATTTTNTTATTATTATTATTATCAACCATCTCGATTATATATATAGATTATATTCTGTTACCTATAAATCTTACTAGCTTTGCAACTCATTTCTATCGTTATTTTATCTACCCTATTTTAAAAGGGTAGATAAAATAACGATAGTTCTAGAGTTCAATGCAAGTCTGATAAATGGTCTGTGACTTATGTAAGCAATAATATACAAGATGAATTGATAAATTTGATGGGAAATGAAATTTTAAGCAAAATTGCCAAAATAACAAAAATCGCTAAATATTTTTCGATAATCACCAATTGTACTGTACCCCAGACATAAGTCATATTGAACAGCTCTCATTAACAATAAGAGTTGTCGCTTTTAACTCTATTCAAAATAAATATGAAATTGAACAATTCTTTATTGTTATTTTGAAGCTTGTGATTCAACTGGAGAGGGTTTGACAGAACTTATTCTGACACATTTGGAAAAGTTAGGTTTCGAGTTAAAGTGACTTAGAGGACAAGGCTGTGACAATGAGCTAATATGAAAGGTGTACAAAATAGAATACTTGAAAAATGTCCAAGGACGTTTATGTGCCGTTTGCGTGTCATTCTTTAAACCTAGTTGTGAATGATGCAGCATCTTCTTCTACAGAAACAATAACTTTTTTCTATTATACAAGAACTTTACTCTTTTTTTCTGGTTCTACAAAGCATTGGGAAGTGCTAAAAAAATATGTTTTACAATTAACTCTAAAACCATTGAGTGCTACTAGGTGGTCAAGGAGCGATTTCAACTTTGCAAAATCTATGATGCATTATTCCAAATAAAAATAGATGTCAACAGAGATGCAAAAACTAAAGTTAAAGCAAGAGGGTTAGCAAAAAATATTAAAAAAGTTTATATGCAATGTAATTCTTTGGCATGATATTTTATTTAAAGTAAATTTAGTCTCAAAGCTATTGCAATCTGTAACTATAAATTTGTCAGATTGTCTAAGGATGTTATCATACAAAAAGTGAAAAGTTATAGACAATCTGGATATGATCAGATGAAAATTGCTGCTAATGAGATTGCAAGGAATCTTGAATGCAGTACAGAATTTCCTGCCGAAACTGAAGTTAGAGAGCCAGAAGGAAAGAGTATCAATTTGACTGTGAAGAAGCTGTCGATGAACCCTTTAATAGAAAAGAGTAAATTTAAAATAAACTTTTTCAATTATATTCTGGACATTACCCTTAATTCTCTAAATGAACGATTCACGCTTCTGGAAACCCATAGCAAAAATTTTCAGTTTTTATATGACATTTTAAAACTCAAGGATTTAGATGAAAAAACGCTAGAAAATTATTGTACCAGTCTCCAGTCAATACTTTCGATCAAAAATGAATCAGATATAAATGCAAATGATCTTCAAGAAGAATTGTGTGATATATCCCGAATTCTAGCATATTCTATGAAACCTTTAGATGTTTTAAATAATTTATGCCAAAATAACTTAATTACTTTGTATCTGAATATTGTTGTAGCTCTGAAAATTTTATTAACACTCCCCATCTCTGTAGCTAGTGGGGAAAGAAGTTTTTCCAAATTAAAATTAATAAAACACTACTTAAGAAGTTCAATACGCCAAACAAAACTTAGAAATCTATCATTTATTTCTATTGAATCTACATTAGCTGCTATTCTAAACTACACATCCCTAATTAACAAATTTGCTACAGTTAAAGTTAGAAGAGTAAAACTGTAGTAGATTGCTGTAGTTGATAGTTGATATCAATATTTTATAGTAGTTTATATTTTCAAAATAAAAATAGTATTCATACATTTTGTGCAGATTTTTTTCTTTTTAAATTATAATCAAAAGTTATTTTAAAGAAAAAAAAAATTTAAGGGGCAGCATTTCAAAGACTTGCATTATACTGAGAAAATCTGCTGCATGGCCCTGACTGCATATGAAGAAATTTTACAAAAAATACAGGAAATAGGAAACAACCCAGGTTTTTTTATTTTGGAAAAAACAATGGATTTACTGTACTAAAAAGGTACGGTACATGCTGAACATTCTCATCAGTCTGTTTACATGGGAGCCAGTGCAACCCATGCTCAGGGGCATAGCTACCGTGGAGCAGTTGGAGCAAACTGTTCCAGGTACACATATCATAAGGGCACCAAATTAGTAAAATGAAATAAAAACTTTAAAAACATCTGTAAAAAAATTATAATAAAATTTCAAATTTTCGAACAAAGCACAAGTAATTAATTTATAGAAATTCACTGAACTTTGTAGATTTATTAGTCACACACACCTGGCTTTTAGACAAAATGAATCTCTACAGCAGGCTAAGTATTTTATTGCCTTATTTACTCCTTTCCTGACTAATGATAAAGTGGTTCAATCATAGATGTTGTTAGCAAGAAATCAACAATGCGGTAAATTATTGGCACAAAGTGTTGTGACGTA